ATAAAGGGAGGCAGGGAGAACACAGGACAAAAAACCCAACCCTTTTGTTTTAACGCGTCTTCAAAAACGCAAATCTATGCAAACAGAGAAACACATTTAACAAATGAACTGAAAGAAAGCATGTTGTGCAAGAATTCCAGGAATTGTATCAGCTGTGGAATAACAAAGCTTCAAAACCATGGAGAAATTAAAAACAACTATGTCTATCATTGTTATTTGTCATAACAAACAAAGTAGTCAACACCAACAGTAGAGAGAGCTATTTAATACTGTCTAACTCAACGAGGGAGCAGTCTTTGGATACGTGTAATGACTGAAGTTGGGGGAAAACGGCCAATTAATAATATAACTTGCCAAGAAGCACAGAAGACAGGGGCATCGCCATCGGAGACGCAGAGTCTATGTCTCCTGGGTTACAGACCAAGAGGACGCGTAGATTCTTTAAATGCTTCAACATCACCCGAACGCAAGTTTTCTAAATGGCTTCTTTAAACCAGACAGAAACGCAGGGAAACCCCCTCAAACTCAAGAGGGGCTCAGCTTGCAGTCTTTACCTTTCTGATGCATTGCTAGAGAGCAAAACACGACTGCAGCACGGCAAGATGGCGTTTTCCTCGGGAAACCAAACAAACATCACGTTTGGAATGACTTCCAACACGACTTCCGCACAAAGCAGCGTTTCCACTAGGCTGTTAGTAACATAATAGCGGAAGCTGTAGCAGCATAGCTACAAAGCAGTGGCACACAGCAGCCCCAAGTTTAACATCAGCTGTCCTGCCTTCAAAGGAAGTGAAAAAAGTTGTGTTAAAAGGAAACCACTCCAAACCAAAAAAAAAAAAAAACAAAAAACCCAAACACCCTTGTGTTGTGCTTCTGATACGAAGCTGGATGGGAGGCCCATTTTCTCTTTAAATGCGGGTGAGAATTTGTGAGCGCACCCTTACGGGGAAATCCTATTACTTGGGCCTGTAAGCTATGAGTCAACCCCCGAGTAATTCGGGGAGAGCCCCCACGACAAAGGAGCAGTCATCTGCTAACTCAGCTCGGCTGACAGACAAATACCGAAAAGAAAGCTTTATTTTTTGGGTTAAGGATTAATCGCCAGGAGGTACGGCCTGTTTTCACAAACGGCAGTCGTTTCCTGCTCCTGCCACCCTCTCCCTTTTACCAAGGGACAGGGAGGCAGCTCCAGACCTGAGGGAATATGAACTGGGAGACAACAGAGAAACCACTGATAGCAACCTGCTTATGGATGCTTCACCTGTGAAGTCTTACGATACTCAGCTACCAAGAATCAGCCAAGCTATTTAATAAGCCGCAACGGCTAGGGAATCTGTAAGAGTCAAATCTGACCAATCCAGGACAAACTGAACACAGGGAATATATATTATCTGCTGCAAAATTCAATTGAATCTTCCACTTTGGATTAGTGCCCAAGATACTAAGCAATTGCTTCTCTCCTTGGACTCCTCGCTTCCCTCTGGGTACCCGACTGCTGTATCGGCTCAGGAGGAGGCAGCAGCAGCAGCGCCCACGGACTGGATTCACGTATTCCTAGGTACGGAGGAGTGCGTGGATTCACTCATCACCTTACCTTTTAAAAAACCTGCCGACTGTGTGTTTGGGCCTAAAGCAGCTACGTAGATGCTGCAACATCCCTTTGCCATTCCCACTTCTACAGGACGTTTTGTGTTATGTTTTGTACGTGCCTGGAAAAAACGGGGGGAGAAGGTAGCAGGAAGTCATTTTAATTACAGAAAATCTAATGTATAATCATAACCATATACAGCCTAACCAAAACCACCCCGTACTCATTGCAGGCCCCAGCTCTTTCAGCTGTTATTATATAATTGGCACCTCCTTTTTCTGAGTTTCACACAAAGGAAAGTTGAGAACGATCTCAAAACTTTCCCAGAGAGCGGGGATAAGACCAGCAGCAGGTCTGGCGGGTGGGCGGTGCTGTAAAACGTGCTGCCTGTGGTGCGCAGAGGATGAAGAAAGGCAACGCTTACACACAGTTTCCTGGGCTTTAACCTGCCACATCATCCCGTAACTCGGAGGCAACTTCATGATCAGTAACTGCTGGCAGTGAGGTAGCTACTTAGAAGTCAACTTTGCAACGAACTAATATCCTACAGAGGACACAAAAATACCACTACGTTTGAAGGCAGTTACATATATGATTAATAATTTTGCCAAAAGGTACTTTTACGTGGGCAACCCCCAGCAACCAGAGACAGCGCTTTTAATGGAGACTCTCTCTCACGCCTTTGACATTTCACTGGGTTTTTTCTCCTAAACTTCTGTTCTACCCAATTGTTGCCCATTAAAGTGGGAGATTTGATAACAGAAAATCTCAGGACCTGTTAAACTACTGAGTAGTCTGCAGTAGAAATTAATTTTAACCATTTTAAGCCCTTGCTGTATTCATACATATTTTTATTTCTCAACAAGCAATCTATGGGAAAATATTTTCAGAAAGATAGATTACACCCGGAGGCTCTGTTCCCACCGAGTTAAATTTCATAGGTACAAGCACACCTAGCAGTAATAGGTGGTACTAATACATTTAAGCACAAATTATCAAGAGATACAGAAATTTCGTTCCAGTCATAAACCACCGCTTTACGCTGCAACGTCTGCTTTAAACAGTTACTGTTATAGTCTCATTATACAGCAATCGGTGCGTTTGCTTTGCCCTCAGCCAAGAGGGCTGCCACGGTCAGAACCATTAAGCGGGACACAGAAGGAACCAAGAGTTTCTCTTTCAAAGACTCTGCAGTTTAAATTTATAAGAGAATTCAGCAAGCAGCTATATCAAGCAAGTACAGTGCCGAGCGGAAAGACGTGCATATTTATATAATGAAGGGCTATCTAGATTATTTTAAGGTTCCAGTTCTGCAAAGCTAACAAATGAGGAAAGGGATGTCTTCCCCCTCCCCCCCAAAAGCTAATACAGATGCAAAACGGTTAAGAAACACGACTGATTCACTTGATATTCCACTCTGTTAGACCTCTAGGTTTAAATAACAAGTAAAAATAAAAGTCACTCATGTGCTTTGTGACCCCACCAGTTTGGAACATACATTGCTATGTATTGGGACAACTACACAAAAAGTTCCTAGGTTCCAGATTTTTAGGTGTCTGCACATGATTTCTTAGCACAAGCCACATACACAACAGTATTTGATGTGAAACTTTTCTATTTAGCACAAAACAAAGAAAGCCTTGCCTCTGTTGCACTATAGGTTCAACCTATTAAATCTGCATTTAACTTTAAGTAATAGATTACTACATTATTCATAGCATCTGTGTATAAGGCCAAGAGGAAACAAAAGATGAATCAATACAGCGATAGGAGCTTCTGTTGCCTGGTAAAAGAGCGTCTTCCACTCTTAAAATTTATATAGTTGGAGGAAAAAAAAAAAAAAGGTTGGAATTTTTCAAGACCCTTTGATGAAAACACGACTAGGATTGTTACGGTTTTGTCCGTAACAACTATCACATAGCTTCTCGCTTCCAGAAGGTAGTAACTGCAAAATTAACCCCTGCCCGTAACGATACACCTTATGTGAGACACAAAGAAAACTATCAATTCTCTCCATTTCTGCAACATTGATCAAATGTTTACTCATAGTATTTTTCTCATTATTTCTGAAAACTGATCAGACTTCTTACAGTATCTCTGGAGGCACTATTAAACATCTTAATTGTACAACACTTGAGATTCAGAAGCATGAAGTATTGTGACATGTGCTTTACAAGAAAGAAAAAGGGAAATCGAGAAGGAGAGGGACTAATATAGGCCTTTCTACAAAAAAGTTTGGTCAGGGAACCTATAGGAAGAATTACAGCTGCAAGTTGCTTTTCCGCTTTGTCCCCAACTGAGATTACTCCACAGAATTCAGTTCAGTCTCATCAATTTTCAAGAACATCTAGAGAAAAAGGAAGCAGCTTTTCCAGCTGAGAGCTGAGTGCACCAAAGATTTGTTTCATACGATATGCTCATCACTCAGGTTACGCTTTAAAAAACAAGTAACTGTTTTAAAACACATTCTTTCTCAAAATCTCTGCTCAATAGCTCTGCTTTCGTTTCCCAGTTCTTATGTCTCCTCCTCTAACTCTTAAATCAGTCATGGAGCTTTCCAGCATAGATCAAACCGAACAAAACCATTAAAGAAGCTTAAGAGATGCCTTTCAGCAACTCCTTGCACAGCTTCAAAGGATCATTGAAAGAAAAAAACATAACCACAACCAGCAAGAAAGAGCATGCACCCAATTTATTTTCTCTTTGCAGGTCATTCATCTATGTCAAAGCCAGAACTGGGAACAGAAACCAGGTATTCCAACTGCCAGTTTGGTTGTCTACCCAATACATCATTCTGGTTTCAACGGCTAGAAGGGAAAAGATTTCCTTATAAGTAGTCTTTTTGGAGCAATTAACCAATCTACATCTTCTGAAGTTCTCCTCTCAGTTATCCTTAACTGGAAGGAGGGAACTGCTCTAACTGACGTTCAGTTGACTCTTCCTAAGATTATACAATTTACTACTGGAGTTTGCACAATTTTTTCTTGCATGAAGAGAGTGCCACGCTGGCAAAAGCAATGTCTGAGCTAACAGAAAATGGAGGGAATCATCATATTCTCTAGCATGCCATGTTTGTGACTGAAAGCTTCAATTAAAGAAAGCGGCCAGTACAGATGCCAAAACAAACAGTGCCATGCAGCTGTAGGACATTAAGTCAGATGTTTGCTACAAATATCCAAGTGAGGACCATTGACTGTTGTCAGTGTTGAACGCTGCCATTGGCACACATTCAGGAAATCATGCAAGCAAGCAAAAATATCAATATCGGCAAGTACATGTTCAAAACAAGAATTTATCCAAGTTTGGGTCACATTCAATATCAGCTCACAGTCAACTTAAAAAGTACTGAAAAACAGGGCACTCGACTTTCATAGTACACGAATCTTTCAAAATGTAAAATTAATCTACTTACCTGAAATCGCTTTCCTACCCAGAGCACTCGGTTCATCAGGTTAGAAGCTCACTATGACTATGAGACTCAAAGCTCAGAAGACCTGCTGCTGGCTGCTTCTCAAGTAGTTATAAGAGTCACTATAAATTAAAAAAAAAAAAAAGTCATGTATTGAGAAGCACAGCAACTGGTCAGTTCCCCTATTAAATATCAGTTATTACAATGGGAAGGCAGAGTCAAGATCTACAAATAGCTGGAAGATGCAGTAAAGCACTGCACAGACTTGGAGAACTACTTTTTAAATACAGCACGTCGCAAAGGAATCTGAAATAGAAAATAAAGATCCCTGTCTCCAGACAAGGTCTGTTAGCAGCTTTCATCAGATCTGAACGGAGTCTGGGGTGCCTTCTCATCCCTTTTGTGCCATTCTGTGGAAAGCAGATCTGATGTTCCCTGCATGCACCAGCCTTCCTGCAGAAGCTGATCTTATGCAAACACTTGTTTCATCTGCAGCTAATTCCCAGCCCATGCTACGAAAGAGCAGTTTGGATGAGACTGTCACCACCAGAACACTTCATCCAGCTCAAGGTGGGAAACGAAGCCGCCAGGAGCAGGCCACTGATCAGGTGATTTGGTCCAGGAGCACTTGCTTGGGCCACAGAGCAGAAGCTGTTTACTCCCACCATCAGGGGCATCTCAGTATTTCCCCTCAAGCGCAGCAGAAATCCAACTTGCAGGCAGTTTCACCTATGTCTACGCAACTCCCACACTGGGACATAAACAACACGTAGGATCTTCTTAGGGCCATGTTTGCAGGTTTCCAAGACATGAACACAAACTGTACAAATCAATCCACTTTAAGGGTGGAAGCTCCTAGTGTGACTTTTGGTCTAGAGCCTTGAAAGACGACTCATAGAACTGCTTTGAAGGAAAAGAGCTACAGCTGCTCGCACGGGAGAACACTCTTCAAGGCCATCAACAGTGATGGTTTTCACAAGCTTGGCTTTGAATATTGGGCTTGAATGCTGCACATTACAGCAGACTGTAGTGCAATTCACAGGAACACAACACCCAATTGCAGCAATTCCAACAGTTTCCAGAGCACGTTTTCTTTAACTAGAAGAGCGAGCAGGAAGGACAACTCTTGGGATACACATCCAGCAGTGTTAAGTGCCAAATGGAACACACACTCTAAAGAAGTCAGTCTCCAAATTCCTTCGAAGGGAGCTGATAAAGTCATCCAGGCTCTAAACTGGGCATCAAATGAGATAACAGGTTTTAATGGCAAATAAACAGATGCAGGGGAGTGAAGAAGGAGGGCTGAAAGTCTTCTCTGCTGGTTGTCAAGATGGTTGAGATCATTTACAATAGCAGAAGAACTTGCACTGAGGCAAAAATAAAATCTAAAACCTAAATGCACTCAATCAAAATCCTCAAGAGGCAGCACACTGGTAACAGGCTACTTTCTTCAAATCGCTCTGCTGTTACCAAACTTTTGCACAGCCATGAAACATTAACATCTGCAACAGTGGACAAACCACCCAAGACATGGCTGGGAAAAGAATACACTCCTCATCCAACCCTCCAGCTTTCAAGGTAGACCTAAAAAAAAGAGGGAGCGGTTCCCAAGAGAACCACCTCCCATTCGAACTGGCCTCACTATGACTCCCCAGAGAGAGAGGCAGACAAAAAGGAAGGGTAAGGCCATCTCAAAGAAGCTTTCAGATAAGGAAAAACAGATGGTCTCCCCCTTCCAGTCACATTAGTTAGAAAATTGCAATTCATACATTTCCATTCAAATACCAGTGGGGAAAAAATTAAATTCTACCTGCTGAAGCAGAACCAAATCCAAATAACCTGCTGCCAAAAAGCAAACACTCTGCAGCACGCTAATTTCAAACCTCCTTCTACTTCAACTTCTTTTTCTTTACGCTCGCAATTACTTGGAAATTCATATTTGGATTTTACACCATGTTCTTGCCTCATCTTCAAGAATATTTCATTAAAGCGCTTCAGGGAAGATGACAGTCTTAACATCAGCCACTCAGCCCACCACACACCCACCAGCCCAGCCTCAGGTGGCAAGGACAAGACACAAGGATGCGCCGCCGGAATAATTCACTTTGTAACAGGCTGGAAGTGAAATGGCTTTTGTCCATCCCTGCAAAATGCTTCCGGATGGAGCGATCACCTACTTGCTGGCCATGTGGTTACCGAGTAGCAGTCCTGCTATCATGCCCAGTTTGGTGTATGAGCGTAGTAATAAGAGCGTAGAGCTAATGTTTACTAAATGTAAGACAAGTTACTCATCCCATGACACCCACTAGCACTTCTTCAGTGAAGAAGAAGGCCCCGTTTCCATGAGTAACGGCACTGCACTCATCTCATAACAACAGCCGCCCTCCAAATACATAATACTCTCTGCTCGCTCACTCAGCAGCCAAGTTTTATAAAGCCCAGAGTCACGCATCTGCTCAGAGTAGCATCAGCAAGAATCCCAACGAAGCCTCACACCAACCTGTTGTACCCTTCCTTGCATCTGGCCAGAGAGCTGCAAATTCTGCAGGCCTGCTCTTCTAGAAAAGATTAATCCCACCTCATCAAACAGACTGTACAGCAGAAATTGATGCTGAAACGTAACAGCACATTTTCAATGAGCAATTCATGAATCAGCAGGTGCTGCAGGGCGCCACAAACACGCCGCGGGTGCTTGATACTGTCCAGCTGTAGCCTCTCCATTTCAAATATAAAGCTATGTTTATCCTGTAAGAAAACCTCCTCTGCCACATACAGAATTATTGCTGAGCCAGCCGGGAAAAGCAGAAACAATTCACGCTGACAATTAACTTCATTTACCACTGAAGTTACACTGCTAACAGAACTGTCTGGGTAAGAGTTGATGGGAGTTCATCCCTATGTTTCCGTCTGCTTGAGGCACGCTCGGCACTTCATAGCATTTTTTGAAAAAATTACAACATTTTTCTATATACTTTTCAGGAAAAAAGGTCTATCTTACCTAAATTAATTGGCTTGTATGCCAGATCCCTCCATCCTCTACTCCTTCCCCCAGAGAAGTACTGTTCTCTCTTTTCCCAGTGATGGTTTCTGGTCTGTTGGGTTACAGGTGAGTAAGTTCAGAGCCCAGAATCCTAAAGCTACATTTTATTATCTTTACGGAAGCAGTTCAGTTTCTGGAGTTGCTAAGCAATAGCAAGTCGTAATGACATGAGAGAAGTCACTTCTATTTTAGCATATAACACGACAACATTCGACTCCGTGATAGCACTTGCTTTAATGTTCACAGTATTTCCTTAATGCAAAAGCATCAGCTAAGAAGCAATTTTGATGGTTGTGATGTTATGAAGATTAATTTCTGAAGTTACTTGCCAGTCTTGTTCTATTCACCAGAAGATAGTTAAGAACTAACAGGCATTTTCAAAAGCACCAAATAATGTCTCTTGCCTTTATCCTCAAGGTCACTCCAGATTGTAAAGTGCATCTCTAGCTTATTCACCATATATGCACCATTTTACAGTATCTGATCCAGCGTATTGCAACCAGCACAGCCCCCAGCTCAGGACAGGCTTAGAACTGAAGCTGCATCTGCAATCAATACATTTAAATAGATTATAGCTCACTGAAACCTACAGGATTTACAGAAAGGCCATATCAAGTCTTTCATTAACATTCAAGCATTTCTCAGGTGAATGCTACTATTCTTACTGTCAATGAAGAACTATAAAAAAAAACCAATTGCCCACATGATTTATGAGAATGAGGGCCCACACCTAAGTCTACTTGTCCCGTACATCAGCCGTGGCTGCAAAGTGCAGACATGAAGCTTTGGAGTTCGAGACTCCCCTCTCCCTCTTCTTCGTCCCACTTAACAAGCGTATGCAAGCAGCAGCGCCGCAAAAGGAGAAAGAGTGGGCTGTCTCCTTCCTTACTTATCCAATATAAACAGTAAGGATCAGGAATGTCTGCAAAGGCTGGATTAACCGGCTACCAACTGCTATTCAGAAAAGGCATCTCAATGATAAGAGCAGCATTTTCATTTTTATACTCCAGCATAGGAAGACAAGCGTGTTTCCACATTTCACTGGTATGTTTGCTTCTCCTTTGTTGCACGCACACTGAAGCACTCCTTAAAACATACAGGAGAAATTCAGCCTAAATAGATCAGTGCACAAGTTCACCAACCCACTAAGTTTTTGGATTAAAGAAGTCAAATTAATCATTTTAAAGACAACGTAAGGGACTTCTAAGTTGTCGTTTAAATCCTCCTCAGTCTACTCCTTGGACATGGGAAGTCAGTAAAATTTGTGATGCAGTGCTTACACAGAAAACATTTCCAAAGACATGCTAATCACCGTACTATTTTGTGAATTGCTCCTTATCTACAGTTGTTTGCCTTTGCACTCTTTTTGCAGAACAATAAACCCATACAGCTAATCTTAATGTAGCATTCATTCCACAATAAAAGGGTATGTAAGAAAAGAAGAATCTTTATTTGCTTTATTAGTAGACAGATCTGCAGTGAAGGACCAGCTGATTAAAAAAAAAAATTTTGTTTAGCTTTTGCTTTTATACTTTAGGCTAAAGTTAAACCCTTTTAAGTTTTGCCTTTAATTGTAAAAGGTAATAGAAATATAAACAAACATTTTGGCTCTCGTATCCATTTTAGGAAGATTTACATGCAATTCCCACCCGCCCACACTGCATTTTAATCAGTACTCAATGGAGCAGCCCAGAAATATCCCTTTTACCTTTCCTGAACAGAAACAAGTTAGCAAAACAGCTAACAACACGCTGCCTGAAGGGCCTTCAAAGTACTGTAGAATTAGCTCTAATGTCCCCACGTCCTGAGCAAACTGCGTTATCAGGACTGACAGCAACATAATTAGGCGAGTTAGCAAAATCATTCCTTGGGTTACCTTGGTTTAGCTCTTAGCGTCCAAGTCCCCTGAACAGAGGGCTGTGAACAAAACCAAAGGCAGGAAGCTTAAAAGATTTCAGTGACAAGAAGAAAGATACTGTTTGCAACGGGCACGCTTTCTTCATTATTAAAGGCATTTTGCCCTTTTATGACGGCAGTATACAACTGCTCTCGGTCACGTGTCCCAAGATGCCTGTGTACCTACTGTGCTAGCCTGACTAAAGCCAACTAAAATCTCTGTTGTAATGAAAATCGAATAATTAATACCCCAACAAGTCTTCATTTACATTTTACGCTTTAAAAACGGCAAAATCGAAGGGTGCATGAGAATCAGTTAAGAAGTCACAATTTTGAGGCCCCTTACTAAATAATAGCAGATAGGCAATACCACAAAGGAGGAATTGGCTCCATGAAGAGTCAACCAGTTCCAAACACCTCTTTGACTATTGCCTGGATTTGTTTTTAGGTCCTGCCACACAAGATCTAAACCAGGACAGGATTATGCAACAAATAATGATCCCATTAACAGGAGAAGGTCCTTTCCGCCGCTCCCAACATAATCCTTCCTGCCTCTTCAGTCTCAAGCCTCCTCCCCACTTTCTTGCTGCTCACACCTTCCAAATAGCGCTTTCCAGGGCAGACTTCTCTCCACAAACCTGGCCACCATGTTATTATGAGTCTCCTCATCACTTAGGCCGCGAACTGCTCCACTAACTCTTGGAAATCTCTAAACTACATGAATAACAGGATGCCATGAAGTGACTTGGTGCGCGCTGATATTTTCACTTGTCCCGGCAGGGTGGGATGCTCAAAACTTACCAGATCAACCTGAAAATATTTGGACGATAGAAAAATAAGATTAGTTAATTCTAATAAAACAAGCTATTTACTAGGTTGGAAAACAGATAAATAATGAAACATCTCTAACTACCTCAGAATTCAGTAATTTTCGGGATATTCTCCATGCTTTATTCATATTGGATCTCTCTAGATAATTATCCCACGTTATAAAATCCAAGCTCTGATTATTTGGAGAGATCACATTTTGTGGATCAATATTTGGAAGAAAGTTTCCAACTACATACAGCTCCCACTTGCAGTCCCATCCAGCCTATGTAAATTACACGGACTTTATCGGAAAACTCAGCTTTGACAATCAACTCAAGGTACACCATCAAAACATCTTTTTGAATGACACGCCACCCGCTGCAACATTAGCTTCTGAAATGCATGCTCCTTGCTGACTAACAAACCTGTCTAGGGTTCCTTCAACTTGTGATCAGTAAACCTACTCAGAAACGGTCACATACCTCTCCCTGAAAAACGGCTAGGAAATTATAAACTTTCGCTGTAGTCCATGACCTTTTGTACAACATACCTTGTGAGCTCCTTAGACGACCATTTTAGCGATAAGGAATGCAGGGTACGACCGCAGTTACAGACCTTGCTGCCGCTCTTGGAAGAGACAATACCACAACCAGTTTACTGTGTTCCCTCGCTGACAATAACTACTGCAGATTATATTGGTTAATGTGAGCAACCATCCCTGTGTTTGGCATCTGATGCGGATCATTTTCCATTGATCAGTATCTGTTTCGCCTTTATGGGATGCGGGCCGAGACCATGACAAGCCTGGTCTGCTAAAGGCATCGAGCCAGAAATGGTTCGCCTTGACGCACAAACAGCTTCACAAACACTGTATTTAGATTAAATACACGACTTTACACCCAAAACCTTTCCTGTCAGGTTGCTCACTGACTCTGGAACAAACCACATCAGCTTACTCTTAGCTCTTCCCATTTTGCCGGTGTTTTTAAACAATAGGCCTTAAACATAATCCATCCTTGCAAGGGTCTTTAAAAAGTTGATGCAAAGTAGTGAAGTACCACCTTCCCCTCCATATATCAGAGGGACTAAATGTTTCTGCTGGACTTTGCCGGCAACACCTGCTTGCTATTCAGGATTTATTTACAAAGAGAGCAATCAGAATAACTGGTTTGGCAAAAGGAGCTGCACCCTTTATTGACTGGAGAGTTAAAGACTTATTTCTCATACTTAGATGTGTCAACTTTTAACCAGAGAACAATTACTATGAGCCTGATACTTAAATAATTGGACAATATAGTGCTTTCAGGATTATGGTGATGATGGCAGGGCAAGAAGGGCAGGAGACTGACCGGGGTGGAAGCTGTTAAAGTTATGGACAGATCTCAAAGGGGGCACGGGCAGAGCAGAGAGAAGGCCATTTAGAGGCTGCAGAATCGGGAGAGGGTAAGTGAAGTAAGGGGGGCACCAAAA